AAAGGAAGATTTTGGGAATTATAGGCAAATTAGCCTCACTTCAACATTCAGAAAGTTACTAGAGTATATCATAAGTCCATTTGCAAGCACTTGGAGGAGGCAAGGCTGATTGCAAGCAACAGTATTGATTTGTTAAGAACAAATCATGTCATATATGATCTCCTTCAATAAAATAACCAGCTAGGTAGATGAAGGTAATGCAATGGATATGGTGCATCTCAACATCAGTAAGGCTTTTGACAGTCCCACACAACCTTCTCATAAACAATTTGGAGTATGGGCTGGACAAAACTACTAGAAGGTAGATAGACAACTGGCTCAATAGCTGTAAGCAAAGGGTAATTATTATAAATGGATTCAGGTCAGAATGGCAGGAAATTTTGAGTGGAGTCCCATAGGGGCATGTCTTGGGCCCGGTGCTATTCAACATGCTTTTAATTATTTGGATCTGGAATAGAGAACTTTTTAGCAAATTTGCAGACACCAAACTGGGAGGATTGTGCTCTTGTCCTCTAATATAGTTGCAATTTAGAAGGATATTGATAAACTGGAAAGTTGGACTAGAGCCAACAGGATGAAGTTCAATGCTGAGAAATGCAAGGTGCTATACCTTGGGAAGAATAATCAAAATGACAAATATAGAATGGGTGGCAACTGCCTGGATGCCAGCACTAAGAGAAGGATCGACATGTCTTGATGGATTACAGACTCACTAGAAGTCCACTGATGCAGCTGCCAAAAAAGCTAATGCAGTTTTGGGCAATAGGAGCATTACATACAAGACATGGGAAGTGATATTACCTTTTTGCTTGGCACTGGTTAGGCCTCATCTAGAGGCCAGCAATCTTTTGCAAGCCACAGGCCAGAGCAACCTGGTTTCAGTCCAACATAAGCCGGGGCATATCAGCAGTGTGGGGCTTTCCCTGCACTGATGCCAGAGCCAAGCAGCTGAGCCCACAATGCTACCACTCCTCACAGCCCACCCACTTCCTGGCTGTAGGACAGGAGCAGCTGGTGGGGAACTGCCTCAAGACCAGGTATCTGCAAACTGCATCAGGAGTGCTGCTGCTTCTCCCTCTTCTGTGCCCCCTCCCCAGCTGCAGTATAGGCACAGCTAGAAGCTGCCCAGCCCCAGCACAGCTACCCCCTGGCTGGAAGCTGTGCCTACACCACAGCCAAGGGAAGGGGGAAAAGAAGCAGTGGCAGCAGACACGGTTTACAAATAAATGGTCCTGGGGCAGCTCCCCACTGGCTGGAAGGTGTACCCACATAGCAGCTAGGAAGCTTAGAGAAGAGGTGCAGCAAATGCAGCTTCCAGCTGCCTGGCTCACCATACTCAGCACCAGAATGCAGTGGAGCTCCACAACCAACTGAATTATGAAAAGAGCTAGGATAATTTTATGGAGGAGATATAGAAAGGGAAGATCTAGCTCTCCAGTTAAGAGGGTGTGATGTAGACCTCTGCTTGCTGACCCCAGGTTGCAGAGCCAAAATGAGGAGATTTAGCTTTTCCCATGCTTCAGGGCATTGCTGGTTGTCACAGAGGGTCAGGAAAGAATTTTTTCCCCTCCTGATGTTACAGGTACAAGGGTTTTTTTCCCACTTTCCCCAGAGGCACTGGGTGTTGGCAAAGCTAGAGATTTTGACAGGTGTGCCAATGCCTCTGCTGGGATGAAAACTCAGGGGTTCCTGGTTATTGAGTCTTGCCCTCTGAACAGAGTTAGACTGATCACCACATCTGGCACCAAGGAGGAATGTTAATGTACAACCAGGCTGGCATGGACAGTAGGGGAGCTGCCTTCCTCTGTAGTGGTGGAGGGGGTGAGGGTGGGGGGACAGTTTTCTTCCTTTTATTTCCCAAATGTATTTGAGCACCCCTTACAGTGGCAGGATACTGACAGTGCCTTTGTTCTGCTGCTTCACCTGTGGCAAGTTAGAGTACTCTTGCTGTTATGGAGCAATGTGCCTTGTTGTGCAAGAAGGCTGCTTGTAGTTTTAGGAATGTGTTAGAAAAACACCTACGGGCTGGTTTAGACAGGGACAATCCTGTTTTGAGTAAGGAGTTAGACTAGATGACCTCATGAGGTCCCTTTTAGCCCTATTTTTTCTATGATTTTATCAAAGGCCCCTGATTGAGGAAGGCTAGTTCAGCAGTTTCAAGTCTGAGATCTGCCATAGACTGTGTGAGATCTTGGGCAAAATCCCTTGATTTCTCTGCAACTCAGTTCTCCATTTGTGCAATGGGGATAGCAGCACTGCCCTCCCCCGTGGAAGTGGACAAGGTAGATTAAGTTAACGACCTGCTCAGATACTACTGTGAAGGGGACCTGATCAGTTCCAGGTATGCCAATTTGACTGAAAGCAACATGCTTTGGGCAGAGAGAGACCACATAGAACAGGACATCAACTTCCCAATTCAGAGCACTTGGATATCAAGTATTAGTCATTCTAAATGCATTTCACTGGACTCCACACTCTGGGCACTTCATAAGTCTGATTATCTGTACAACAAGCTATAGTTGGCACTGAGGCAGTCACAAAAATTTGAGCTGCTCTGAAGGACTAACAAGAGCCATCCTTGTGTCTACCAAGACAGGGCAAGGGCAAGGGCTCTGAACTGCAAGCCCAGCACCACAGTAAAAGAATGAGGCAGCAATCCTGCCTCCTTGCTTGGGAAATGGGAGATGCAGCTCCCAGCAGCCCCAGGGAGTGAAACACACAGCTTCTTTACAGAATCCCAGCTTGTTTATTCTCTGTACAAAACCATTTAAACTTTATTATTTACTGATTTATTTTACACAAGAAAATTCCATCCAGGGGGTTGCACTGTGTAACATGGCTGGGGCAGGGAAGGAGACAACCAGATACACCCACCTAGCTCCCCAGCTCTGGGGAAAACCATGCGCTGCTCCCTCCCCCTGACCAGTCAGCATCCAGGCATCCCACCTGCACTTTGGAATGCATAAGCAGCAGCCACCTTCAGGGATGGTGAAGATGAATGGAGATACAACCAGAGGAAAGGGCATTGAAAGGAGGTTCCTAGACACCACTCCTCTTAGCTGGCAACTAATTAACGAAACTGTAAACTTATGCGTTCCTGCCTCTTCTCCTTTGCCAAAAAAATAAGGGGCTCCCAAGCTTGACTTTACTAGGGGCTGCACTGGGGCAAGCTGAATCATGGATGCAAACTAGGGAAAGCAAATCCCAAATACCAGGCAGGAGCCTCCTGGGGCCAAGCTAGGACTGCAGGAGGACAGAAGCTTAGGGTATACTATGGGCAGCATTCATGCTCCCTCCCACCCCCAAAATGGGATACATCAGCAAACATGCATGTTTCCCAAGTTCAGGGGGTTCAACAGACAGGTGGTGCTGCAGCTCACACAGCACCTGTGCTGCAGTCTTGGGCTGACAGCCCTATGGGGCAGGGGTACAAAGAAAAGTCATGCAACAGAGTAGGTGTGAAAGAATCCTCTAGTATAGAGGTCAAGACCACAGAAAGCTTCTTTGCTGGGAAAAGGTGGAAGTCTGCTACAGCAGGACAAAACCCAGCTTTGGCAGTTAAGCTGCACACAGGAACAGCACTGCCAGCACAGCATATGGCATGCCACACAGGGAACAGCACTGCTGGTGTGAACAGGACCCCAGCCAGCACCGCTCTGCTCAGACTAATCTACCCTGGTGGCTGAGTTGAAAGTAACATTAGTGTTCTTGGGAAGGGCTAGCCCCAACAAAACCAAAGCACCATACTTGTGACCAATTCAAACACTGCTTTTACACAGGGACTGAAGAGCCCTTGCTCTCATGACTACATATGGTCCTTGCACTGTTTCTACAGAGGGCACAAACTCAGACAATACAAAGGACAGGAGATTTTTTAGTTACCATCATAAGAAAAAAAATAAATAGCTCCTTGACATATACAAATTCAGTGTTAAATGTTCAGATATACTTTAATACACCCTCACTAGGTAAATGGAGAAGTAGGGAAGGGAAATGGGGCATTTCTTTGCTTCTTCCCTCCTCTCCATCTTTGCAGAACTCCTGACAAATTTCTCTCTCCCAGGGCTGGGAGAGTCTTTCCAGCTCAGACATTTGACTAATACAAAGCAGAACCTGCAATACAGAGCTGGAAAAGGTGAAAGGAACACAGATGCTTCAGTGCTCCCAAAGTTAGCCCGCAATGGGGCCCTGCAGCTGCATGCAATGAGTAGGTCCTTCTAGACCCTCAGGTATACATTGCTCCAATCCAGCCTCTGCTCCAGGACTGGACTGACCAAGACAAAATTTCCCCAGAGTCCCAGGTAGCTGTGACCATTAGAGGCATCTTCACCAGAGAGAGAAGCCAGCTCAGAGAGGTTTGTCTGTTTATAGGGAAAGGAGCCAAATGCTCAGCCTAAGGGGGAAGGAAGCAGCATCCAGGCACAGCCAGGAGCCCAATCCTGCTGTGCACTCCTCCTCAAGCCCCTCACCTCTGAGGTGCCATGTGCTCCAGGCCCCAAGACCCAGAGTGATTCTGCCCCATCCTTGGCTCTAGTTGAGTCACGAGCTTCATTTCAAACATGTCAGCCAGCTCCTTAGCAGAGCAGCCAATGCAAAGCCCCTGGGACCAAATCAGGGGCTGCACAGAATCCAGCAGAGAGATTGGCACCTCCCTGCAGGAGGTGGTAGTTCACAGGCCTCTCTGGGGCAGATGCTTACAGCTTTATAGCCCTTTGTTTAGAGACCTGAGCAGCCCCTACCAAGCAAGCTGCACCAACGCTGGCCCACCTCCCACCCTGCCAGACAATAAATAGAAAAGCTCAAGACTCAAAAGAAAAAAAAGTCTCCTCGTGCCAAGAGACCCATGTCCCACCAGTGGCAGGAGAGGCCCCCAGGGTCCCTGCACAAACCCCCCATCCCCCCCTTGGCTGCTGCAGGGAATGTATATTTTCTCTTTTGGTCTGTGGCACAGTGTACCCAGACCTTCAGGCAGGTGCTCACAAAATGTGCTTGGATCCCCATTACAAGTAGGTGTCCTCACTCTCCCGGGAGGTCAGGCTCTCCTTTGACTGGTGATGCAGGGAGACCTCAGGATGCTTCAGCAGAGTCTGGGGCTCAGGGGAGGCAGGGGTGCCATTCTCCTTAGGGATAAGCCCATTGCCAGGGCTACCTTTCCCTTTGTCCTGTTTCTTTTCTTTCTGCAGCTTATTCTTGTTGCCCTTGGATGGGACTGGGGCATCAGTTGGCAGGATGATGGAAGGCCTGGACCCCAGGGCTTGGTGGGAGTGTGGCTCCGCTTCGCTGATGGCCTTAGCCCCATGTAAGCGTGGGGGAGACTTGTACTGTAGCTCCCCATGAGTCTCCTTCCACTTCTTCAGCTGGATCAGGTGCTCACGTTCAATGTGCCGCTCTGTCACTGGCAGCTCTATGATCTGGAAAGGAGACAGCATGTGCTTGTCAGAGCAAAACCTCTAGGGCAGCCCCTTCCCAGCCAGCAAAAACAGGCCAGAGCATAACTGTCTATGCAGCCTGGTCCTCAGGAAGAAGATCTTCCCAACCTGGAAAAATCTATACCTGTACTGCAGGCTCACTGCAGCCTAGCACATGGAGCTGGAGACTTGGATCAATGAGGGAACAATTCAGAGCTATACAGAAGGATGGTCAGAATAAAATCTGATAGTACCTGGAGAAGGGTAATCCCTGCAGGTTGCATTGCCTTAGGCTGTTCCCTACTGGACTGGAGTCCCCATGCTCTGCCCTCCTAGCTTCTCTGAACTTTAGTCAGGTATGTACCAAAAGGGGAAAAGACACACTTGTTAACCAAAGACCTTTACCACCAGAGGGCAGTACTGCACTAAAAAGCAGCACCACCCATGATCTGTGGGGAGACCTTTACAACTTGCTTCCAGACCTGAAACTCCTCAAGCCAGCGACAGGAACGCACAAGCACCTCTTATCCCACCCAGGGTCTCCTAACAGCTCACGTCTCTCAACTGACCAGACACCTATTCCAGCCCCAGCCGCTCCCCAAGTGAATCGCTGCAAGAGCTCTGATCTGCAAGCCTGCCACCACAAGTGCCGCAGCAGACCGGAGGCACCAGCTGTTCCAGGCTTCCCAGGAAGGCAGGCTCTCCACTTGCCTTTAGCCAGATGTCTGTTGGGGCAGGATGTAGGGCAATTAAGGCTGTGCCCTGTATGGTGTGTGGGTTGGAGATTTCCCACCATATGCCCAGAAACCCTGCTGGTACCTGCCATTACTATGAGAAGGGGGCAGGCAAGCCTGGCACTCCCTCACCTGCTGGAGCAAGGAGCCAAAGCAGAGAGCAGCAGCAGGATGAACTAAAAGGCAGAAACCTCCCAGCTGTCCCAGCCCCTCAGGGTTTCCAGTGGGCAATGCCAACCAATCTGTGCTTGGGGAGAGGTGCCAAGGCCTGGATTCTGCCAAGAGAAGCAGGTTCCCACCTAGCTACTGCTAGGGCCACCACTTCATACCACAGCACTGCGGGATACAGTTCTGACACCAGAGTTACTCCCACTTCCCAACCCAACTGCATGTCTCCAGGAAAATGCTCCTCACCTCCTGCACCAGGAAAGTCTCCTGCATGATCTTGGGGTTCAGAGTCCGCAGCCTCTCCATGGTTTCATACTGTCCCTGGCAAGACTTGAGCTTCTCAGAGGAGCCAAGCGTGTGTTTGAGCAGGACCAGGCCAACCCGGAATATGATCTTCACCCCTGGAACAGTCAAGCCACCAACTTATTAGTGTCTGTCCTACAGGAGCACAGTGATGTACCAGCCTCTTGTGCCCAAAGAGGCGTGTCCAGGTCCCAGCAACTAGACCCCTCCTCTGCCCTGAGGTGCTCAAGATCCAGAAGCAGGATGCCACCACCAGGCCAGGTTAGCCATGACCCAGAGCTGGAAGGTGCAGCCCACAGCAGCTCTTCTTCCCTGCACCGGGGTAGCTTTTGGAGCCTGCAGGATACAGTACTACATGCAGAGACCTACAGCTTCACCAGATCATGCCTGGGAGGTAAAGTGCGGCCAACTTTGGAGGATTCCTGCCTTTGGCCTTAGCAACCTGCCTGCTTGATCTCAAGTGGGATTCTCAACACAAACAGAGATAGCCATCAGGCAGCGAGACCGGGGGGGGGGGGGGGGGGGGGGGGAGCCG